AGAACTCTTGCTAGAATGACAAAACACCACAAACAGTCAAAGACACTGACAGATTGAGAGAATGTATTTGCAACATATATCGCAGATAAAGGACTTATGTCTCTAATATATAAATGAAAAACCCGATAGAGGAAAGACTTGGATAATTCACTGTGTGTGTGTGTGTGTGTGTATTGACTTAAACATATAAAGAGACGGTCAAACCCACTCATAATTAGAGACGTGATTCCACTTTTTACCTGCGAGAATAGTGAGAACGAAAAATTATGACAACATATCTGGTTGGCAAGGCTGTGAAGAAAAAGATATTCTCCCACATTGACAGGGGGAATGCATAATGATGTAACCGTTCAGAAGGAGACTTTGATTGCTCCTAACAAAACTACATATGCCCTGCCCTGTTGACCTAGCATTGTTCTTTCTATGTATCTACCTGAAGACACACCTTCAACAAAGTAAAAATGTGTATCCACACGGTTATTCTTTGAAGCATTATTTATTATTGAAAAATGTTGGTAGCATATGCCTGGGTTGAATATGTTGTAATAGCTTTGGGTCCAGGATACAAGACTTTAGTCATACTCAGTACAGACACAGAAAAAGTTCTGAATTGTCTGTTAGCTATAATACAAAGGCTTTGAAAGTACCTGGACAGGGGACATCAAGGAAGGAAACACAATGGTTGTTGATCACTTGTAGCATGTTATGCTGTTGGAGAACTTGTTTTTTAATGGCATATGTTTAAGAGACTTAACATTGTACAATTTTTATGACTTTACTTAAATGAAAGGCTATTGGAATAGCTGCCCATGAAGCTTACCTATTTCTCACCTTAAGAGTCTGTGATTCTAAGGGAAATTTGCAGTGGTGTGAAAGTGCTTACTTTTTGATGAAAAGGAAATTGTTGGAAAGAATTCATTGTCACTAAAGGTGAAGAAATCTGAACTTTGCACCCTCAGAAGTACAATTGGTGGCCATACGCTGTTCTCCGGGTCTGCCAGGGCACTGTTGTCCCCACAGTGATGGCTGGCTCACAGTTCTTATCTCATACTAGAGGCCCGATGCATGAAAGTCGTGCAAGAGTAGGCCTTCCTCCGGCTGCCAGCACTGGCTTCCCTCTGACACCCGGGACCTGGGCTTCTCTCTGGCCGCCGGCAGGCACCCAGGACCCGGGCTTCCCTCGAAGCCCCTGGACGTCTGGTCAGTTAGCATATTATGCTCTTATTATTATAGATTATTGAAAGTGTGTGGCAAAGAAGTGACCAAAGCATTGGTGCCATACTGCTGAAGCTTAAGACAGAACTTCCTCCTAAGTATTTTAGCAGTTCTCTTAGATGACTTATTGTGGGGGAATGCTATTAAATGTCTTACCCAACTAACATGACCGGAGTCTTATGTAAAGTCACCAGTTGTTTCTCTGAATTGAGATAGGTGGAGGGAAATTCCTTTTTATTAAGCTCTGTTAAGATGACTTATAGTTGCCGTTGTTCAGCTGTTCCTTTCTAAATATGCAAACATAGGAAAGTGAGGGATCCATCTAGAAATACAGAAGTTTCTTTATTTTCAGTGTACTTTGC